ACTATATAAATGTGAGAATGTCGTGGCCAGAGGCTCAGAGTTACTGCAGAGACAGGTACACTGACCTGGCTACTGTAGACACCATGGATGATGTGAACAGGCTGGTGAATATAGTGGATGCTGAATACAGTGGATCAGTGTGGATTGGACTGAAGACACAGAAACACTGGGCTTGGACTAGTGGAGAAAACACACTCACACAGTACAATATTTGGGGTGCTGGACAACCAAATAATGAATATGAATGTGCCTATTTTTATTATGTTTGGAACAGTTTAGCGTGCTCAGATGTGATCCCATTTATGTGCTACACTGGTGAGTTATAAGTTTATTCAGTGAGTTTGTAACTTAACAAATATTCAGTTTAGCTGAGAAGAGTTGTGACCTTATTCTTATTTTGCTTTTCCTAAAAGAAAGCGGGGGATACGTTGTGCCAAATGTGTGGAAGAACTGGACAGATGCTCAGAGCTACTGCAGACAGTATTACACAGATCTGCCCATCATCCACAACTCTGAGGAACAAAGCCATTTCATAAGTTTTGTTCCAGGGGGAGCGTATATCTGGATTGGTCTGATCCAGGACTCTTGGGAATGGTCTGATCAGTGGAATTTCAGTTTCAGAAACTGGGCAGCAGGACAACCATCCCAGAGTTCAGGATCTGATGGCTGTGTCGGCATGTCAAGAAACAATTTTGGGAAATGGGCTCAATACAGCTGTGATCTAAAGCATCCTTTTATCTGCCATGGAGGTGAGTTTTTCCATGTTAACAGAATCAAATGATACAAACAAGAGGATTGCATGTTTTCATTTATTGATGTATGTTCTATGTTGAGGATGACTTTAACACTGTATTTCTCAGATGCCAAGTTAAGGCAGATTGTCAGACTGAAATTCTCCTGTAATGGAGAATGCACATTGAATGATCCTTCACTACAGACTGCCATTCTGAATGAGGTTTGTATCTGGCCTAAACACTGTGTTCATTTTCATGGTCATATCATGGTTCAACAACACAATTTCTATTTACTGGGTGAAAAGTTTTAAGAATACATTACAGCCAACTGTAAGACTTGAGAAATTAAAAAAAAATGGGTAGTCTGGTTGAGGATCGACCACGAGAAGACAAAGGACCTTTCTGGAAATTAACATTTGAACTCTCTCTTGTGAAGTTAGCATCACTATTTGAGACGCAAAGAATACATCTCTTTCCCTCTTCCCCCACTCCCTCTCTCTCATGCTGAGATCACCTGAAATTCACCCAAAAATCTATATGGTTTAAATGTGAATTATTATCATACAGTTTTATACATGTTTGGTATCATTTGAAATGTCTCAGTGGGACTGGTACAAATGTCTCATTCCCAAAGAAGTAAACCAAAAGGTAATAAAGTTCTTAAGTGTTTAGAAATATCTTGCACACAGGAGGGTGTGTCTTCCAGGCAAATGGCCTCCTGCTCTCAAAAGGTGTATATAACCTGCTCTGAATGCAAATTCCCATTGTTAGCAAGTGTTTCCATGTGAAAGAAGTTTCTGTCTTGGTCTGGGTATATAATGAATTGCAACAAGAGGCGCAGGGCGATTTGTAACTCCAATTAGCCTGTGATGCGGAGTGTATGCAAAACACTTCGCATCATGTATTTTAGAAATGTCAAGGTTCGCATCTTCTCTCTTTATTCCAGAGCATTTGATGTTTTGTATATATTATCTTTGAACTGATTATGAAATTGGCATGATATATTTACCTGACATAATAAACTGTAAACATTTGTTTTTATTCTAACTGACTCTGACATTATTTTCAGTAAAGAGTTAAAAAGAATAGTCAAACATTCGCTCACATTTAATGATGCACAGATATCATTAAAACCTTTTCATTTATGGAGTCAGATGAAATAACGAGATAATACATATGAAAACATTTATTTCATTCTATCGGAAAACCTCCATTGGGCCGATTTAGACGGGTTTACAAACCAACCAACCATCTTTCATAGCATTAATATTGTTGCTGCTGTTGATGTTTTATTTTTATTCTTTCTTGATGGTCTTCCAGATCCGTAAAAAGCTGAAGATCAGGGGGCTGGAAAGTAACATCAAAATAAACTGGAGAAAAGGGGAAGGTGAAAAGGTTTTTCATCAGGAGATCAACCATACGGCCAATTCAAATAATAAGTGTGATAGACTGTAATTATCAATGTGCTTTTTTAAAGTACACTTTAAAACTGATTCAGAGAATATCAAGTAAAAGTCTGAACTATATTTTTAGGAGGAAATGGGAAGTCGTAGTAGTAGTAGTAGTAGTAATATGCATTATTTAAAAGTCCAGTAAGGACATGTTAAATATTATATTTATTGGAATTGATTGTGAATTAATTTAAAAGACAATAACTAAATCAGTTAAATGGAATAAATTGGACTTAATAAATGGACTAAATTTAGCTCTTAACTCTGGTTTATTAATGTAAATGCATTTTAGAATAAAAGCCATGAATATGTTTGTAAAATTGACATTAATGGAAAACTTCAGTATAAAAACTTTCTAGAGTACTGTATTAGAAGGGGATTTGAGATATATGTAAGTCTGCATAAGTCTGTGAAGTATGCATATTTCATTCTCATAATAAATTTGATGAAAATATAAATAGAATCATCCTGTGCATATTGTTTTCATTTTCAAGTGATAACTATAGATCTGTCAAAACTTTTTTTTCTAATAGAATGATTTATATATAATATATTTTTGCATATACCCAGAAATGTTTCAAAACCAGGTCTAAAATTTCCACCTCTGTTAATTCATTAGCATGGGAATAGTAACTCTTTCATGGACTCCTTTTCTCTCTATTCTGCAAATACTAATAAAATAAATGTAGAAAATAAAATCGGTATCAGTTAGTAGCTTCTTATAGCCTGGTTAAAACCAGACCATTCTCAGTTGTAACTGAGTTATGGTCTGGTAAAGCTCCATAGACAATTCATTTCCAAGGGGCGTCACCAACGGACATCGCTCAAATGCCTCTTGGCGCAATTGGATAGACCTAAAACCAATCAGAGCGATGAAGGAGATGACGTATGCAGAGGGCTCTCGCTAAGACCCACCCATTCGTTTAGCCACCAACGAGGCAAGCTGGTTGTAATCTATGGTTGTAACGGGGTTCGTTGTTATGGGAAGGAGGAGGCAGAAACCGGCGAACATTCACACATTTTAATGACAAAATAAAACAAATACAAAAACGAAAGTAAAGACGGCAGTCCCTCACGGTCGACTGCCGCCACACATAATAAAACAAAACATCAAATAAAATTCAGGCCTGTCCTCTCTCGGTCTTCACCGTTGTCGCTCCTCCGTGAGAGATGCGAGACCGGTGCATCTCACAGGTGTCATTCATTATCACTCGCGCCATTCTCTCACGTCCCTCGGCCTCGTCCTGCTCGCCACACTGGTATATCAGACTTTTGCCGAATCCAGTCGGTAAGACAGCCATAACATCTTTTTTAGACATGAAGGCTTCGAGTGTTGTTCTTTGCTCGGGTTTTAACGAAAAGGAAAAATTTTAATCGCTTAAAACAGACGCAATAGCTGATTCGAACGAGTGATGGTCCACGGCGGCATCCATCTTTGTAATGTACAAAATCTGCTTCACCGTCGTTGCGCTGTCGTCATCGTGTAAAGCCCGCCTCAACGTTTCTGATTGGTGCCTCGATTTCGACGGATTGGAAATGGGCTTGAATGAGCTCTTTGCCAGACTAACTTGCAGAGCAAATCTAAATTTGCCAGAAGTTGTCTGGGTTTTCTCAGGCTACGCTTCTTATTTACCCATTAGAAATAACTCTTTATTCAGCACATTTTCACTTTCAAACAACCAATAATAGTATGATATTGTGCGGCCCAATACAGTAAAACTAATAATAACTATTATGAGTTGTACTCCCTGTAATCATGATAATCTTCACACTTCATGGTATCAAAATATCTTGATGAGCTTATCAGCATAAAATCAGCATATGGGGCAGTTGCATAAACAAACCCATTACGTTAAGACAGTGTCTTAAGAACTATATGACCAACTAGCAGTTAGTCAGGGGTAATCTTACTTTTCGGTGACATTTTAGACCAATCTAAGTTTTTATATCTGGCTTAAAGGTAAGGGTTTGGGATTTGCAAAACGGCCGGCAGATTTTGAAAATACACAACTCAAATGGTCCTACCTTCTTCCTCCAACGCTGGCCCTGACTCCACCCATTCGAAGAACATGGAGGCGCAATCATGCACGAGCAAAAACTCAGATGCGTGAGTTTAAACAAATTAAAACTTTCTCTGTAAACAAAGATGCCTTTTCTCTGTCAGCCGTTTTGTTCGCAATTGCTCTCTCAAATATAGATTTCCTTTTGTGTCTCACTCCCTACTCGTCAAATGTCTGACGCATGGTCAAGGACCCCTGGCGTCAAGTTTCAACAAAAAAGGTGTACCCTTGACGTTGTTTTTCGACGCGGGGGTCCGTCATGTTAATCCCTCATCGCCGAATATAGACGAAAGGAAACGAAAGGAAACCAACTCTGTGGCATTAGGCAACGTCTCAGTGGTTTAATGACGAGAGAAACCCCGTCGCGCATCTGCAAAGGGACTGATGACAAAACGTTGTGTCGTCGTAGGAGAGGAATGTGGACAAACGTTGGCACAAGATATCAAAGGTTGGCTTGCTCATCCTAAAATTTCGGACCCACTGCTCCTCATTAATCTCATGAAAGTGCGTCTAGCACAAATTTTATTTATCATGCCATTTAAGCCAAAAATATTGCGTGCATATGATACGCACTTTATGGCGTGCAATACGCACGTTTACAGTGTGTATCATATGCACGCAAAAACTATTTTGGCGTATAAATGGCACGATGAAATACAATTTGTGCTATAGATATGCACTTTGATGATATCGTGTTGGAAGTTCCCACCAGTCCTGAGATCTCTCGCTGCGCGTTCGTCCATATGTGCAGCTAGACCAGCTGGTGTCTATGGTGATGTACTCTCCATTACGAGCACAGAAGCGGATTGCGTGATCAAACGGCTGGCCTGCAGACTGCAGGACTGATGAGACAAAGAAAAAAATATTTATTTAAAGGTACACTATGTAACTTTTTTATTCAAAATGTACAACATTTATATAATGAGCAAGTGCATCATGAATCCATCTTCCAAACCGTGTTTTGTCTTATCCTGAATAACTACAGAACACCTATAATAAGTGTTAATATTCAGACTATTTTAGACCGGGTGGAATGAAAACCACAGCAGAGTTAGCCCAGTACCTGCATGACTCGTCATATACATAAACAGAGAGAAGTAACTCCGGCTACAACGTTCTCCCACAAGACGCATGCAGTTTTGTTTATTAACCACAAGTACCCCAAAAGTTACATAGTGTACCTTTAAAACCCACTTTACCACAAAACAAATGGATCCATAATATGTTCCAACAAATTGGATTAAGATGCGATAGGAGAAAGTTCCATATCACTTTAAATGGACTAAATGGGGACATTTTGGTGGTTTCATGACTTAAAAAGCTGTCTCTGCCTTTTCTTGTTGTAAAAAAATGTATCACGTTTTTCAGTCAAAAATAGCACTCACTCTTCCTGTGGATGCCGAGCATGGCTGGTCGATCACTGGGATGCAGGTGCAGAAGGACCGGTGTGCCAATCAAATCCTGTGGAAGATATCCTAGTAATGGAACAGCCCTACAGGAAAAAACACATGACACAATCAATTCTGATTAGTCTGCACAACAACAGTTTTTGCCTTTTATTCATGATTATGAGAAACGGAAAAAAGCAGGTGCGCAGGTACATCTGTTGCATGAAACACCCCGTGCTTAAAATTTCCAGCTAATCTTCATCTAGTTCGTCAACAGTGAAGCAATAACACCCGTACCTCTCATCCACATCCTGAAACACACAGACAGTATAAGAAGTGGACAGAGCCATCTCATTGGAACTCAGTTGAGACAGTTGAAGCCCATTTTTAGCGATTTTTGAGCACTTCCGTTCCTGACGCGCAGACTCAAACCGACTCAAACTAAGCTTGATGACGTGAGCAACCTGTCTGACAGACGTTAATCTTCTAGTAGCTGTGCGTGAAAATTGCCAACGTTAATCTTGCAGAGACGGGGAACTTGAGCAAAGAGTTCTTTGGCGTGAGTGAGCAGGAGTAAGTATTCCGTTGCTTTTATGGACTCATTATCTATGGGCTTCTCCCTTGACGGGACGTCCCCCCGATTGCCTGCGAGCTTCTCCTCCTGTCTGTACGGTAATTTCTGTACAGCGCGACAGAGAGTCGAGTGGTTATGACGCAATCGTTAGCCTATTTTTACTAAATCTGTTTCTACGGGGCCATAATGTAACATAGAAGGTAATGGAGCCCTTTATACATTGTCGTGTTTCTTTAGAAATAAATAATGGACAAATGGAGTCTTTAAACGCCTCAGATGTAAAGTTATTCGCTGTCAATGTGACGCCAAAATGAATGGGAGTCAATGGAAATGCTAACGCAAGTGAAGTTCTGCTACAACATGGCGGCACCCGGCCGGCTTCAACTTCCGGTCGATGGATTACCCCCTTGGTTGTGGTCAGGGGCGTAGCAACCGGGGGGGACGGGGGGGACACGTCCCCCCCACTTTTAGAAACAGGTGATTCTGTCCCCCGCATTTTTTTTTACTCAGCGCCAATATTTCCGCCCGTGTTCTCTGATTTGTTACTTAGACTTGAGTGAGCTAACATTCAGCCAATCACAGCGCGAAGCATCTATTGGGCGCGTCTGCCATGAGCTTCAAATCTTTTGTTGCTCTTGCGAATTTTCGTGTTTGTTTAGTCGCTTTGCTGTTTGGCCGTCTAATGCACCCCAGAAAAAAAGCAGAGGACTACATCATTTTTTTCAAACACACACTGTTAGCCTACAGTATGTCGCGATGACATGAATCACACGTAAAGTTTCCTTGTTATGATTTAACCTACTGTAACGCTGCTGTAAGACGAGACAACAGAACCCGTATGGGTTCACGTCGCGCCGGATTGTGCCGAGTGTGTGTTAAATGCTCTCCTACTTGTTGCTTTGGATAAAAGCGTCTGTTAAATGAGACATAGATTATTCCCAGCAGGCACACAACGTCATAAGACGTTGATATTTGGTTAAATTTTGGTTGCGACGTCGGGTGACCAAAATGCAATGTAAATTCAACATGTCAATGTTAAATTGATGTCCAATACCGAATACATTGATTTAGGTTTTATTGATATATTTTTTATAAAATGTCTGTTGTATAAAATTACTGTAGGCTAGATGTAATCTGTTCTGTACTCATTGAACACTTTTTTTTGGTCCAACTGTTAAGTGAGATAAAAGTTATTGTTCAAGTGTAGTTTAACTGAAATATTGTAAATATCATAAAATATCTTTATTTCATAAAAATAAAGTATATATGTCCACAGTTGTCTGAAAGTCCCAAGTCCTGCAATATTTTTTTATTTCGAGTATGATTTCACAAAAATAAGTTGCTGTAAACTATCATGGCATGTTCCCAAAATTGGCACTAGGGTGCTGTAAAATCCCAATTGCTATTCCATCTAGAATTTATTATTATGAACATCACCTTTCAGTCCCTCCAGAAAAACGCGATTAGGCCTATGCGATCGCATGATTCAATGCATAATCAGCCAAAGTCTGCATATTTATGCGGGGGCATTTTTTCAAATACGCCGCACTTTTGCCGTATAAATTGCCGATTTCCACGCAAAATATGCGGGGCTTGTAAGATTTCATAATCCCCGCATTTTTGTTGCAAAAAAAAGTCACATATATCTTAGCAGAAAGTTGAAAAATGTTGCGTTTGCTTCACACGAGAGCAGCCGTTTCCCCCGGTTGCCATGGGAACGTTATGAAGTGACGTAATTACTCGACATGAACATCATTGAAAAAAAATGGAAAAAAAGCTGTAAAACAGGAAACTTTTTTTCATATTTTATTTATTCATTTTTACAGAAGTTGTAGCATATTACTTTTGTAAAGCTACAGAACTTGTTTGAGTCATCAATGTTTTGTAAGTTTGAGCCATGTGTTTATTAAGGTCTGAAATAAAACAAGATTAAATATTCCAGCACTTTCTGTGATGTAGTATGTTTGCTTATCATAGGAAGTAATAAGAAATAGCTCTTTACATTAAGGTAGTAGCCTAGTGAGAACAGGGTGTTGGGGAATCACTTTTTCTCTCTTTTTCATCAAACCGCAGTTTTTGCAAGTTCCTGCAATTTCATCACATAAAATTGCAAATATCCTGCATATTCCATCGCCGCATAATCAAGGATTTTTGCCCGCAACAATCACAAAAAAACTCGGCATTTTTCTGGAAGGACTGACCTTTGGGTCACATCACCACACCATTTTGTCCCCCCCCCCCCCCCCCCACTTTTATAATGGCTGCTACGCCCCTGGTTGTGGTGAAGATTCGTTTGTCTGTGGGGATCCTGGGAGCTGAGGAATGAACAAAGTTTTTGATCAACGGTGATGCCGACGCTGTTTTGATTAATGATCTGAAAATATAGATGAGAGCAGTGAATACTATTATAGGCACAGAGTAAATTTGCACAGCAATCGTGAAGTAACTTTATGTAACTAGGGTCCATTGTAACATAGAGATTCAGGGTAAGACAAAAACACGATTTGGAAAATGTATTCATGATGTATTCACTCATTATGCAAATGTTGTACATTTTGAACACAAAAAAAATTGTTACGGAAAAAAAAATGACGGACTGCACAGTCACTGCAGTTTGTAATCAAATGCAGTCTTGGAGAGCAGACTATACTTATTTCAAAAACGTTTTCAAACTTTTGACAGGTAACGTTAATATAAAATCTCTTTTAAAATGAGGGTCTGCGGGAGACCTTAGCTAAGTTAGCTTAAGGGTTGACGATAACGTAACGCAAGCTATCACTGACATAACCACGCAGCACATTAAAAAAAAAACAGAAATTTATAATAGTTCATAATAATAAATAGAAGCAGTTAAATTCGTCAATAGCTTGTTTTCATATGACGTCACGCCACTGCGTTGCCATGGCGCGAAATGCAAATGGAGGGCAGGAAGTGATTTGCTGTATTTAGAAAGCACTATAACAAACTCAAAATGCCTATGTTTTGCGTCGTTTATGGTTACTTAAATCGATCAAACCACGAGGAGTTTTTATCGTGTACCAAAAGTTGTTGTTCATAAAGGGGGAAAATTAAAGAAATTGACCGAAAAACTCCGGAAAAACGGCTTGCAAACCTACGTCTGCGGTCGGGAGGAGCCGAATGGGAAAATGCTCGTTTGTGCAGTGATCACTTCGTCAATGGTGAGTTAATACAACTTAAGTGGCTATGTTTGTGTAACGTGTAACATTTACGAACTTTGTAAAGTCAAAGTATGTCTGTAAGACGAGGTAGTTGCTGATATCTACCGCCTCGATGGCAGGAAAATCTTTCAATTCAGTTGAAAATCGCACCTCTTCATAACGTAAGGATCACGTCCAACATATGTTTGATTTTTTGTTTACATCTTTCTCTTGTAATAGCGTGTAAAGTAGTACAGTACGGACTTTCCTCCATCTCGTCCATTGCGCTCTTCACTCCCCTGCCCTCCATCTGAATTCCGCGCGTCATCATAATCACGTGACTGAAACCCAGCTATTATATTCGTTAATTACAGTCTTCTGGACCATCTTCGTGTTAGCATGCTCTCCCTTTGATAACATTAGAGTCAGCTAACGTTAATACGTATTCAAAACCGATCAAAGGAACAAAAAAAAAACATTTTAAGTTAACGAATACAAAACATAATCAAGAAATTAATTCATTAATAGCAGTTTGAGCACACTATGGGACTTACCTTGGTGAAGGTTTTGAGGTAGCAGCTACCGAGTTACCGATCTGGCTGCCTCCTTCGTTCTGCTGCAGAAAGGAAAATCGCGCGCTCGTGTCACGGATGCGGCCCGAATCTGTTTCGCGACTGTTGTTCCCGAGCACTAAAACTAGGGCCCGGGCTGGATCCGTATTACAGCGGTGAAACGGACGTGACTGTAACGCGGATTTGCCGGTTTAGAGACGGATCCGGCTCGGAGTCGTCTGCTGTCTGGGAACACTTGCAAAATCCAGTCGCCCATTGCTATCATCACTTCGCAACTCAGACAAACGAATAATTAAACTAAAATACAAATATTTGCATTAATTAAGTTCTAAAAATGTTAGTGTTTTAATGTTAAGATAATAACTTTCATGTTACTTTCATGTAAATTATATCACTAATTAAAGATGTAATAAAATCACGAGTCTGTTTTCACCCGCTATAATTTAAACATCAAAAACATGATAATTGATTCAGTTGAATATGAGCTACAATTTATAAAGGCTATTCCACATGCACGAAGAGGTTCCAGGAGCTCTAAAAGAATCATGCATCGACTTCAAATGATGAATGCAGCCAAGGAAAACGTGAAGAATGGAAAATTGCTGGAAAGAAAGTAGAAAATAACACAGGTAAGACTAATAAAAGTATCCTAAACATTTACCTGTCAAACTGTTGGTCAGGCGAAGGTGACTGGTTTTATTAAAAACAATTTATTCCAGGAAAAATATTGTTCTACTTATTGTACTGATAGCACATGCAGATCAAATAACAAAACAAAAATTGGAGAAACAAGCAAGTGACGATCAAATCATCCGGTTGTTAAGTCGTGACGTAACCACTCTCCGATAATACTTTTTCCGGGTCCAAAGGCCGGGTCCTCTCTACCTACCTACCGCTTTCGCCCGAGTTTTAACGTGTTCCCGTGTTGTTTAAATAGATCGGAGTTAAAAAAACAAGTGACATTCAACTGTCATTCTACCGCTTTCCCTGTGACGAGAAAGATAAGAGAAAATGGCTGCA